ATCGCGCTTATGATGCTTATCAATCGTTATTGAAGCGCAGAAACCGAATCGAATTCTATTGCGACTCTGTCACCGTCAGTCGAGCGAGAAGATCAATCGTAGATGATAGAGAGACTCTCGCTGACATTTAACAACTCTTGTGCTCAGACTTCCTTGCTCCTGATAAGGATGCTCCGCACTTGGCGTGAAATTCTGTTATTCGAAGAAATAAGATTGCAAAAATACAGTCAATCGCAGTCATTTACCGCTTATGTGTTTGTAGAGCTTTGTCATAAATCACGTAAATCACTATTTCGAATAAATAATATATTATCTCGCGACAATAAAAGATTAATAAACATTTAACTAATCAAACAAATACTTGACGATGAGCTACAATTTGTAAATTTGAAAAAATCTCGACTGGACTTTGCTTAAGAGTTAAGGCTGTGCTAGAGAGGAAAGATGCGATGAAATATATACACAAGTCATTCTTTGTTGGTGACGTAGTCATCCTTATTTCTTCAGAATATCACGTGATCATGGCCCGCGAAATAGTGGCCTAACAGGATCGCATCTCTCTCATCGACCTCGAGACATGTCAGACCAAGATCAACCTATCAGAAGACAACGGATCATCCATCACGAACCTCTGCAACCTAATCACCACTCGAGACATTTCGTTCGCTGTTGGCAAAATGTCTAACAAGTCTAAACGCATCCAATTCTGTTATACGTATCAGAATACTATTTTGAAGTTACAATTAATAAAATTACTTAAAACAATTAAAAACGCGCATCACACATTTATATCTTGTTGTAATTTTCACTTTTTACTTTTTTGCTTAAATGGCGTAATTATAGTGCAATCGATTACAGTAAAAAATGAAAAAGATATAAAAAGGTATACTCTTGTTTCCACGACTATTAAAGCAGAAATATGATCCAACTGCGAGACTTGAAGACTTGCATACGAAGCGGAGTGAATTTTAGGCTTGCATTTTAAGAGACGGCACAACTTGCAAATTTCATGCAGATTTCCGTCACTTCCCACCCAGTCTCGTCGCTCATGAATCACACGTGGCGCGAACCTGTTTTTCGGTGAAGGCCACCTTCCCTCCTAACGTTCGTCATACATTTAGGAAAACAATATTTATCAATATTTTATCTCCAACGTGTAAAGCTTTGAGCTACTGCGTTATCTTGACAAACGATATAATCACACATTTTTAAATTTTTACACTTGTTACTTCTCGCATCATTTAGTTTTAGCTCGTGGTAAGATGCGTTATATATCATATATGTATATACATATATACATCTTTACCAAATTATATACAAAGATCTGTGCAAAAATGACCATATAATACAGATGCATTTCACCGTAAATAAGTATTACAAGTCAATAAAATTTGAAAGCGTTGACTTTAAAACAGGATATTTCGAAGAAAAAAAATTGTGACACAAAAACATCATTTTAAAATTCAATATTTTCAAAGATACTGACTCGTTCGTTGACTTCTTGAAATAAAATATTTCTGAGAAAAGCGCATTATAAGAATATCTGATTTATAATCTTGAACATTTTATTCTATATAGTGCGTAGATCGTATTATTGTAGGATGCACCGTCGTGCTCCTTTCACGATGTTTATCGCCTACGTACAAAACATTCAATCATTATACGAGTAAAGTTAAGTGGCTTTGATGTTCGAACAAAATGCCATGTGCCATCGAGAGTAAATCAAATTACCGAGCATGATCGCATCAGGCAACGCGTCCGTCTGTCTGTTCGTTAAATGGAATCGCGTAAAGCGCATCGTAGTTTCAGCAATTTATTCAACTGGCACGTGTCTATAGGCGGAGGTCATGAACTACGCGTGGGAAGTCACGAAGCATCACGTTTCATTTACCACGTCGCTGTATATTTCTGGATTTATATTTTCACATAAATCATAAATTTCAATAACTGCGTTTTAAACGCACGCAAAATTAAAAATCCGAATATTCTCGCAACGCCCTTCGCGCACAAGTATTTAATTAAGACGAGGAGAGAAATAAAATACCGTTCGTCAAAATTCGTAAAAATTGCCGATCCGACAACCTGTCACGCTTCGCGGAAAAATTAATCCGATATTTTAAGATCGTTAAACTTTCACTTGGTTAAGCAAATAAATCGCTGTAACGTAAGAAATTTAACTCGCGAAATTTCTCGACGAATCGCTGCCACGCGACTCCGTTAGAGGAGCTATCTAGCGCGGGCGCGAAAGAGAGTTAAGGTCGCCATCGCGCCGAGCGATGTATGACGTCAGCCCGATATATTTATGAGCACGCCCGAGAAGAAACCGACGTTGTGCAAATAAGCCGCGAATCGTATATACTCCAAATAGCGAGTCGCATCGCGATACTTTTCACCGGCGATTCTCCCGATACACGTCGGATATAGAGGATCCCTCCTCTTCCCTTCCCCCTTCTCTTTTCGTGTTCAAGGTCTTCCGCGACGCTTTTCACGCGCGCTTTATTGATCGGCGCCGACCAGTGGAGTTTCCAAGGCAGCACGTGGCCTTTCAGGTGATTCTCGGACAATGACACCCTAATAGTCAGTCGCACGGAACCGCTGAATAATTAAGAGTAAAGTATATTTGCGTTCGCGCCGATGTTATAGATAGGCTTTAATAAGAACAAGTCTAGTCTAGACTTGTTAGAAGAAATCCACTCAAGTACATTACAGGACCATTACGCACAGCAACTTGTTTCTTATAGTGCTATATAGCAAACAACCGTTACTGTTTAGATACTAATCATACGCAGAGAGAATTTTCTTTTAGAATGTATCTTCAAAATCATGCTAATCGTATAGAACAATATGGTATCGAAGAAGAATTTTATAAGAATTTTTCTAATTAAATATTTACCACGAGAAAAAATATTATCATCTACCATAATAAGATATAAAATATATGTTCAATTCATTTTACTATGTACATATTAATATTTTATTGTGGTAAATATTAATCAGAGAAACTCATGAAATTTTTCCAATACCATAATCGTCCCATAATTACCATGATTTTCAGGGTAAATTCTAAGAGCAAATTTTTTCCGTATATAGAAGTAGCTGAAAAGCACTTTTCCCTTAATAGAACTTATTAATTTTTATTTGTTGCAAGTCTAAAAAATTAGACTAATTCCACATATATATATTTTATAAAATTGTTAGTAATATTCCAAATAAAAATGCATTTTTGTGTTTAGTAAAATTCTCTCAATGTATATGTACACATATATATAGTCGAAGAGAATATCAGAAATTATTAGTTTCTTTTTTTGTTTACATTTAATAAATCTAAACGCTAATGTTTCTAGTAGAAACTCTCTGTTTGTAGCTTGTAAACAAATATGCTATTTTTAGCAAAAAAAAAGGGCGGATCCAAACTCGTGTGTTCTAATAACAAAATGTTTGGATCGCTGCCGTCAAAGGGTTAATTTCGGTTGATTAAAAACACAGCTCACACTTAATTTATATGCGTATACTAATTAGAAAGAAGAAAAAAAACAGGAAGTAGGTAATGAACGACTTTGACGTAAGAGAAAAGTTTCGCGTGGACACATGACCGATCGCTCGCCACATCGATATAGCCAGGCTCCAATATCGATTCAATTGCACAACAAGATTTTCGCGAATGATCGATCGGGAACCTAAAAATATACGGCTTTATGCTCTTAATTGAAAATACTTTGAACGGCAAGGGTTTCCTCGTGCTGCTACCTCGAAGGTAGTATCGAATTACGGAAGGTATACGCCAACAGCACTTGGAGGGTGTCCCAATCGTGCGTGCGAAAGCTTACGCCACGATAATTCAACGAACAAATTCTTCGTCATTGTCGATTTCACACCTACAACTGTAGACTCACGCGCGATATTATCGGGGAATTATATCAGCTTCGAATTTACGATTGAACTTTGTTGTTCATGCATATTATGCTATAGATGACTCACGCGAGCCTCTCACACTGCGTACTAATTTATCGATAATGATTAATGCAAAACAACAATATTCGATAATTTAATTTAGTAAACAAACATTATGAACCAGCGCAATATTGCAATGCATATTATTATTTAATTGCGCAGCAGTTTCACGCAACATTTTTTATTCTAATCTATAGTAAAAAAATTTTTTTACAAATATATAATTATAGCAGTCTCATATATTACGTCATTTTAATTTAATATATATATATATATATATATATATATATATATATGTGTGTTAAATAAACATAATTCCAGATTTATCCACACTGAAAAAAAACTTATTGAATTCAAATAAATATTTATTTCAATGCTACACATTCAATGCTAGAAATCATTTATTTAAAAATAATATTGATTTGCAGTGAAAAAAAATATTTACTTGATATAAGAAAATTCCTTTCAAAACAGATAAATATTTATTTGTTTCAAATAAATGATTTATAAGGCATAGCACTGAAATAAATATTTATTAATATAATAATTGTTTTCAATGCAGAATTTTCCAGGACAATTAATAGAAATATTCGATAATTGTTTCTCAAAATATGAAAGAAAATTATTAACAAATTGTCACTTGTTTTAAATAGTATTTTAAATAATTATGTCTTAATTTTACAATGCAGAATAAATGTGCATTATATACGGTAAATAATCTAAATTTAAACGCGTGTATAAGGTGACATAATTTCCCGATAATTCTAAAACACGACACCCGCGTGTCGTCGTATTGAAAAAATATCCCCATGAGATTATCTCCGACCTTGAGGAAGCGATAATTCAATCGGGATACTCATCTCGGAGCTCCACTTCTCACAAACAGTAAGCGACAAAACAGGTGCATATTCAACCTAATTGAATATATTCTATATCGATAATCGCGATCGGGCCCTTCTTCGTACGGCCGCCATGCGCTGTACGATAGGGGGAAGGAAAGGGGTGACCAAGTCCAAGCACTACATACTACTACTATATTGATCACTGACCTTTCCTGCGGCCAAACGGGCCGAAGAACGTGCCGTTCTTGCCGATGACGTTGTCATCGATGTACTTGAGCAGCTTCGTGGTGTCCTCCCCTTTCTTCGCGGCGATCGACTTGACGGGGCGTGGTGGGACGACCCTCTGATTGCCACCGACCACGGTGACGTTGATGCTGGTGGTAGCTGCGGCGGTGGTGATGGTCGTGGTGCTAGTGGTGGCGATGACAGGGTTGTTGAAGGCTACGGTTACAGTGGTGGTCGTGTTGGTCGTGGTCGTCGAGCTCGACGTCGACGACGTCGGCTGATGGCTGACAGCGCAGCCGGCGGGGACATTCGAAGGACACGTCGTCGTCTCCTCCGCCAGGGAGCTGATCCTGCGCTGCGAGCCGTTCCAGCTCTTGCCGCAAGAGATCTTCACCGAGCAGCTCATCCTCTCATAATATTATTATTCGCAGCAGAGCTCATATTAATGTATCGAATCGCGAATCGAACGACGACTGCCACATCCGAAACGAAAAGACGAAGAGCTTCTCTGTCTCACTCGCGCATCACTCCGCGAAACGCACGATTAAGTTCGAATGGTCTGAAGTTAGCCGCACGTGTGTGTATCGAACGACCAATCGCGCTCGCGCGATATCGGCACGACGTGTGTCTATTTTCACTAGTTCTACTTTCCCGTACCCGACTCCGGCTCCGACGAGAAAAATGATTTCCCAGATGTATAGAGAGACTTTCTTCTGCCCGACTCGACACCGTTTTTCCGCTCAACGACTCATCTGTCCCACAGTTCTTGCATAAGAGAATATCTCACGGGAGTCGCGTGTATATAATAGGTTTTATCATCGGGTGAACGACCGGCGGTTTAATACCTTTACTCGTTCGCACTCGTCTTCAAATTTCAATTCTTCTTCTTGTCGACGAGAATCTCAGATAGGGCGAATCTCGATCTCATCGTCGAGATCAGCGCGGGCGTCAGCTTGCGCGACCGATTGGTGCAAAGCACGATAAAGAAATAACGCATATAATCTCCTCGAGCGCCGTGGCGAGACTGAGTGTCTGGTAGACGGCGAGCTGCCCGGTTCGCCAATGACGTCACCTGGCCACGCAGGCGCCTGAGCGTCTCGCCATGCTGCGGGCGCATCTTTTCTCCTTCTCTCTTCTCTCCTTCTCTCTCGCTCTGAAACGAAGCGCGCGTCGCGATATCGCGGATGGATACTTCTGCGCCGCAAATTGCCGTGAATTTGCCGTGACGCGCGATTTCTTATCGGGATCACCGAGACTGTTTGTCAACGATAGTTTTCGGAGCGCGTTACCTCGAATAAATGCGTCTCTGTTCCGTGCGAACTCCTTCGCTCCGCGTCCCCTATCTCGCGACAAAGATGCGCTCTCACACACACATGTATATATACATAGCAGATGGCGGTACACACTTCCAAGATAGTCTATTCGGGTTGTAGATTAACTATATACATGCCTATCGATCGGCATCGCCTTTTCGCGTGATTAAAATTGCAACGCTGTTTTCACGGCGCGTTGTAATGCAAATGCGCGAGTAATCGATTTTGCAAACGAGATACACGCATTGTGCTCGCTCTCCAAATTAATTAAGCGGGACTTACGAGAGATACATGATTAAACCTATTGCTTCTCTCATATTTTTTTTTTCGACGATATTCGGAAATATATTGATGACAAAAAATGTTACTAAGACATGATTTTTTTTTTAGTAATCTCGAAATGCATTCAGTGTTTGAGAGGATAATTTACTTTCCGAGTATAATTATAGAGTATAATTATACGTAATAAGTATTAGACATTTCTCTTTTCCTCCTTCCCTTTCTTTTCTTCCGATCAAGCATTGCACGCAACTTACAAAACAGAGAAAGAAAGTTTTAATCAGAATATTTTCTTTCCACTTTAAAGTCGAAAAAAACCGCGAAAAACATTACGCTTTCTTTTTAATATTTATGCACGCGTATTAGGGGCAGTGAGAGTGATAAATTATACTTTTAATACATCTATGAATACAATTGAAAAACAATTTTTTAAATCAAATTACATTAAAGAAAATTAATTGCAAAAATTATAGAACTATGTCCGAAGAAAGATTATGTAAATAATTTCTTAGAATTATGTTGAAAAACAAAAATGCATTGCACGGAGAGAATTTTCGCTTGAATTTATCTTGAAAAACATAGTGCGACAAACAATCGTGAGACAATATGATATTGAAAGAATTTTATAAGAGTTTCTCCGATTAAATATTTACCACAATAAGATATAAAATATATGTTCGATTAATTTTACTATATACATATTAATATTTTCTATTGTGGCAAATATTTTAGAGAAAATTCTCTGTGTGTACAAATGTTTAAAAACAAATTAATAAAATAATAATTACTATTCAGAGATATTGAGCATATATATCTTTTCTCACGCTTCTAATAAAATTATTTTATTATAGGTCTATGTAATATATGTATCTCGTCCAAATAATATTCTGAGTTATACAACTTTTCATTATATAAAATCCATCGTAATTTAATCGGCGTTTAACCGGTCTTCGCGACGCATTTTCGTGATTTTACTAATTAAAATAAAGATGACATCATCTGTTGCTTTCACATTTCTAAGCGAATAAAGATTGCCCAGTCATATCTTAATGTGACCCTCTGCGGGTTATGCCCCAGACTTACGAGAATCCGAGAGTTTTATCAAAAGTAGATACGACTAACCTAATTAAACAGCTTAATCAACACCTCCCTTCCTCTGTTTTCTGTTATCGTACATATGTGTCGCCGCAACAACACGATGACAAATTGATACAGGTCGACGCAGTGTCTGTGTAATGGAAAAATAAAATAAATTTCACGAAGTCAACAGATAATAATAATAATAATGCAGTACACATGTTTATATCATTGACAGATGCTCTTCACGTGACACATTCACACGAATATCTCTGTTTCTCTAACAGCTGAATAATTATCGGCAACGCGCATCTTTTTTTTCTTTTTTGATGGATAGTTAATCATATGGCCAAAGTCAAATATTAACGAAGCTTGTGTAATAGCAACACTGAAATCATCGTGTATATTGATCGTGTAAAGCCGTAATTACCGAATATAAAAGAGGGAGAGTGGGAGAGAGCCGTCAAAGAGAATCGTTCATCAAATAGAGAAATTAATAAATCGAGCAGGCAAGCAATAGATAGGTTTTTTTATAAATAGTGAATAAAACCATTCTTTACGTGTCTTCCGAAGAATCCTAAGTAATTTCATCATTAAATGTGTCGTCTATTCTTTTTTTAATTCCTCTGTTTCAAAATGCCATTAACGCGTTTGCTCTGCCAATCCTGAATATGCAGTGAAGTGCAAACGCGTGTCGTTCGCATTCACGTGATTCTTTGAGAGAACCACTTGTATGCATTTTATGCTGATAGCGCTGAAAATCGAAGCCTAGCGGTCTATTTTAAATATAACTAGAAATAGAGATACAAATTGTAGAGCGACGTTATGTCATCGCGTACACCTGCTACCGCGTCTAAATTAATCTCAATTCTGCAATTGATATCAATTAAATGATAAGCTTTTTATCAAAATTATTTTATTGAAATTCGTGTTAAATATTTAATAGGTATTCTTCTTTTATTAAATTTAAATTTACGAATATATTGAAAAATGGGTAAACGTGAAAAAACACAATCAATCAACAGCAAAGAAAAATGTTCCTTATTAAAACTTGAAACAGATGTATAATGACTGCGAACAGAATCTTCGTCAGCTTTGTGTTCAGACCAATTTACTCATGAAGCGGTACATCAAAGTAAATGCATAGTATAAATAATCTCAACAAGAGAATGTCCGAAAATTTGCACTTACTATTCGTTTACTCAGTATATATTCAACTTAAGACAAAAACACACAGAACGATTCTCAGTTGCTGCCTCATCATCGAGTCTCGCCGAATGACAACAAAGTGACACAATGACACAATAGTCGCAAAAACGAGCGTCGAGAGAAAGAGAGGAAAGAGAAGGGAAATGCATATGTTAGCCAATTTTGCTGTCACGAAATATTTAACACATAAAAATAAAACAAATAATATAAAAATATATGTGTGTTAATTAATATTCTTTTTCTTCTCCTATTAAAAAATCCATTGTATTTTGAATTAATCTCAATTATCACATGCTCATTTTAGATTTGCTTTGTGGACTCATTAGTATCTAAAATTAATTCTGTTCGATCGATCGTGTTTCCGAGATTTAATATTGTTTAAAAATTTTGTTTTTCGTTTCTTACGATATAATCTCACAATTTTATTTCTCTCCAATTCTGAACGATTATCGTGCGATCAAAGCCTATAGGCTATCGTTAGGTGTGTAACCCTCTTTGACGAGCAAACTCTCCATGGTAACAAAGGTGGACTGCGAAGCTTCGAGCCGAAAGATTTGGATATTCTCGTTTTTCATCGTATATATAACCTTGCCACGCGTAGTAAAAAAGTCGTGCCTCTTCCGAATTTTCTTTCTTGCGAAAAAAATAACCGAGATGTTAAAATTTCAACAACGTCCCACTCCGGAGGATCTCAAGCTCGCCGCGTCAATAGAACGTAAACGACAACTCGAAGAAGCGAGGAAACTGCGCATCTTTAACCCTCGCGTTAGAAAAATTGGAGTAAGAGCCAAATTCCATCTCTATAATTAGATCGTTGGTTCAATTTTTGTATCTCTAATTTCTTTCATTGGAAATTTTTTAACTTTTAAATCAACTTTATTTACTACAATTTAACTATTTTTTCAATCATTTAACAAACAATTCGCAGAACTAACTAGATTTATTATTCACTTATATAAGTCCAATTTATCTTGTTTTATACATTTTGTTACTTCTCCCTGCTTAATTCGCAAATTCCACAAGTGTCGTTTAATGCAGCACGTCGCATTGATGTAACTGTTGGATCTTAACGTATAACCGAGAAGTTTCTTTGATGTGATACGATTTGCGCGATTGTTTCCCTGACATTTACAGATAGACAAGGCATTCTTGGATAAGCAAGTCGAGGAAAAGCAGCGGCAGCGCGAGTGGGAACAGGCGAAAGAATGTCAATTGGACGAGGCACTCATTTGCAACAGCGAGCTCGCCATGCATTTGGAGAGGCAGCAAGAGGAGGTAATCGAGTGCCGTCAGTGCCGATAATTACGCGGGAATGTTCGCTCGATACAGCTGGTACTTGCAATTTTTCGGAGTTACGTGCCGCGTCGCGATAAAAAAACACTCGGTCGTGGTGGAGAACGCTTTTCTGTTCGCAGGAAAGACGGAGAATAAACAAGGAGATCGAGTGCTTTCGGCGGGCGCATCAACGAACCGAGGACCGTCGAGATTACGACCTGTATGATCCCGAAGCGCTAAAGAAATCGCTCCCATCGCGAACGGACGACGATGATTCAAGTCTGGGACCGGCATCTGCGCAGAAGTGCGTAAATAATCTGATTAATTCCACCGATACAAGTAGGACAAATAGTGGGAGAAAAATCCCGGAAGAGTTTATCTCGGGGTTCCAAGAAACTATCATACAGAGAATTTTCTCTTAGCATTTATCCTGAAAATCATGATAATCGTGGGACAATATGTATAGTACTGGAAGAATTTTATATAAGAGTTTCTCTGATTAATATTTGCCACAATAAAAAATATTAATGTATGCATAGCAAAATTAATCGAACATATTTTATATCTTATTGTGGTAAATATTTAATTACCACGTCGTCCCACGATTATCATGATTTTCAAGTAAATTCTAAGGGAAAATTCTCTCTAGAAAAATGTACGCGTGAAGTTTATGAAATTATTTTTTTTCCCTGTAATCAATGACTCTCGGCGATCTCTTTTAAGATTCTCTTAATTCTAAAAATACCGATACTTGACGCGAAAAATTTATTCTAATCCCTGAACCACGGTTATTCTAACACAGTATAATGATACGTAGTCTTCTTTATCGTTACGGTCAATTGAATGTTATATTCATCGTAAGGATCCTCGAAGCGGATAATAATTTAACTCACAGCCTGCTCACCCTGACGCAATGATAATGAACGCGAATAATCGCAGAAGAGAGGAGGAACAGTGAAATATTACGGCTGCGCAGGTTCGAGGGCGAGGATCGCAATCTTCGCGAGCGATTGAAAGTACAGAGGGAACAGATGCGTTGGTGGATCCAGAGACAAAAAGAGGAGCGCGAGGCGGCTGAAAAGGCACGACGAGATACCGAGGAAGCCTATCAGGAAGTCGTCCTCTCCAGGGACAAACGCGCGATGACTCTGGCGCAGATGGAGGAAGAATGCCGACGAAGGTTGAACGAAGCAACGGCGACATTTAATCGCGCTCTGGTACAGAATATTCTCTATTTGTGTCTTAATTTGATAGAATCCGAAAAAGACGAGAGACCGTGTACTCGTATGATTCATTTAAATTAAGAAAAATCCTGTTATATTGTTGAAAGTTACTTCGCGAGTCGCGTTTTGCAATTAGAAATTGTTTTATGCGCGAAAAATATCATGTAAGATGATATGTTGATCCTGTCCGATAAAAGGATATAAAAACATATCTATATTTGAATACACGCTCGCTTATGACGAGTAAAATGATCGATCTGAGCATTGCTATATAATAATATGTTGAATGTGTTGACATATTAATATATGCGCTACCTATCTTCGCTTCTATTTTTGGTTCCTAATATGTATTATAAAATCGATCTCTTTGTTTTGTATCGCATCTTGGTAGAGGAAAATTCCAATCCAATTGCATATAAATCACACAGGAAAACCTGAATTTGTTTAAGTAAAAAAGACTATACGAGAAAGGTAAACGAGAATGCTAATCTAAAAATACTTTTAAAGGAATTTTCGTACGTAACATCAAAAACTTACTTAAAATCAGGATAAATAGAAAAATTAATATTGATATTAATTCATGCCACTATCATTGTGTGAATATGTTTTTGCAGAGAAAGAACGTTTCCTCCACAGTTAATTTCTGTCTTTTGTCAAAAGAATAAAAGTGATCGGGAAACATTTAATTGCAATCTATCGTCACAAAGACAACGTGACAAAAGATTTTTTTGCGCAGTCTGCATACATACATGTACATACATATTAACTTACCGCAGGATATAAAAGTCGCCTACACGATTCTCTCGCGGTCGATGAATAAACCTCATGACATCATCGTGCAAAGTGCCGCGATAATTTGCTCCGATAACTATAACAAAGTACCGTCAATTTTTCCTTCCTTCCGCCGTCGTATTCAACTCAATATTAATCCTGCTTCCTCGTTTCGACGCACCGGCGTCCCTGGCCCCTTTTTCTTCGTCCCCACGGCAGGTTCGTAGAATTTATTTCCGCTCGATTGCAGGCCGAGGAGCAGCAGCAACGCCGTCACTGCGAAGCCATTCAAGATGAGGAGGACAAGAAAGCGGAAATCTATAATCACGTGACTGGAGATTTCCTCACCGAGGCTAGGGAACAGGCCGAGAGCATTCGCGGTCCGTACAGGCCGTTGCCGGACCGATACAAGGGCATGACTGCGGACGAGTTGAAGGTCTTCAGAGACGCTCAGCTGGAACAAATGGAAGAGATTCGAGTTAGTATGAGAGGAAAGGAGTTTTTATCATATTTAAGAGTCTAAGAGAAATTTAACCTTCTTCAACTATCCAATATAACTTTTGTGAAATTCATCATTTTGCTGTTAATTTTGTCCTCTTCTTTTGTGCTCATTTTGTTTTGAATGTCTTGAAAATTACATACACACAAATATTTCTCGCTTATTTTATTTTATTTAATCTCTATATACCGAACTTAATCTTCCAAAAATAATTGCAACAATTATTTTTTAACAATCGGATTACGATGAATAAATTCATTAGAGTCAAAAGTTTCATAAATCAAATATAATTTTGCAATAATACACGTTAATGATATCAGTAGATAAAGACTGAGTGCGTCATGACATGCTAAAATAGCAGTCCATAATGATACATATATTATTAGCATATCCAGGACAAGTGTTTTTTTGTCGCAATATATTATTTCAAATATTCGTAAATCCACTACAAAGTATTAATTTTAATATTACAAATGTCTTTTTTCTTTCAGAAAATCAAATTAGAAGAGAAAAACTTAAACGAGGATTGGGAACACTTAATGGATTCGCATCTTCAAGCTGCGTATTTATATGAGCAAGAATTAAACAAAAAAAAATCGTAAGATTCTGCAACTATTTTTCACTAATTCTTTTATGCTCATATTGTTTATAAACAGAAAAAGATACTTGAATATATTTTTTTAATAGCATTAATACTCACAATGATATATCTTGAAAGAGAAAATATATTTTATTATACTTGTTTTTATGTGTGTATATGTGTGCGAAAATTTTTTACATATTCAAAATACATGTCGAGAACATGTAAAAAAATGTAGCACTTTATATATTAAATTATATATTAATTATATTCCTTTAGGGAGTTTAACAAGAAAGTCGCGGAGGAAAATTTGCAGCTTGCCGAGCAACAGAAATTACATCAGGAATATCTGAACCGTGTCATTTATAAAAACCAGCCAACCCCCGCCTTCTACGAGCAATTTAACAAAGGGACACGTTGAGGCAGAATCATAGTCTTCACATGTGCAGCATTTTTTCAGGATTGATGTAAATTTAAACAATAATTTTACATACTTTTTTTATAAAAATGATAAATCAATATGTATATCAATAATTCTATTATATTGGCAAAATTGAAGCATCTTTCAATTATTCTATTGTATTCAAATAAATCGATAAATTTCTTTTTTTTTATAGTTCTTATAATTGATTAAATAATCTGACTTGCATTCAATAAAGAAATGTGACAATATCTTTGATATTATCTTTAGTTGATAATATTAAATTTGCTGCTCAATTGATATCTGATCTGTTCTTTATATCAATGGATCCGACAAACAGAAAACAACTGGATCGACTCTCGGTAACTGAGTTTACAATATTACAATAACTACATTTCTCTTGATGCTTTCAGCGCTGAAAGCTTTGTTTGATGTTAAATATAAAATAAAAACAGAATAATATGCTTACAACGCTGAAAGTGTCAAAAGAAACGCAGCTAATACATACAAAAATTAATTCACTATCACGTATACAAATAAAATATAATAACACGGGAAATTAAAATGTAAAGAAAGAATGCCTTGTTGTGTGATATCATATATTTTAATTAAATCATTTCATCAAGACAAGATTGCGCTACAATGTTTTTGTCTTTTCGATTGTCAAGTAAAATTTAATATCACAGTTAACGTATTTTTTATATTTTTGTATCTTATGCTAAACATATGTACTTTCGATAGATTATATAGCTTAAAATTTGTGGCGTACACTATTTATTATTATTACGCCATGCCTACAATATCGATGAGCTTATGTTAATATTTTAGATATGTCAAAGTACTTTTTTGCCAAATATATCGTAATGATATAAGCAATAAGAAAAATAATAATCGACCTATCTAAATATTTTTTTAGAATTGAATCTTATATCATCATAAAAAAAAAGAAAGATGAGTGACAAAATGTAATTTTAATTCATTTTTTATCATGGAGAAAAATCTGTAAAAAATAATGTATTATATAAAATATTGAAACGGGATGGGTACAAATGATATACATAATTAATCATTGTAAACCATTCGCTCGCTCGTTTACTTCTCCCTTTCTCTCTTGGACCCCGTCAAAAAACACGTCAGATGACTCACTTATTATCGGAGGATCGGAGCGCCATAGCAAGGACTTGTTGCATCTGTATCCTAACATCCAATTTCTTTTCTTCGGGCACCTGTCTGATAATCGGCAGCAACGATAAGAGAAACATTTTATCGTAATCATCCTCATCGAAGGCGACGCGTTGGCTGCTGTGCGAGGAGAGGATGTCGTGTATCTCGTTGTCGAAGGGTGTAAAAGACGTCTCGCAGAGTTGCTTCGAATAACGCGGACACACCTTGTAGGACGGAGTACCTGCTTGAAGATACTCCCTGCTGCCAGTTATGGAAGCGTTGCCTCCTTGAGGAAGAGCATCGTATTCCTCGATCACGGGGTTGTCCACCTCGCCATCGCTCTCCTCCGACTTGCAGGAGATCATCACGGTACTTCTAAAGAAACTCGACTGTTAATCGAACTAATCGTATTATAATTATATTAATTTTTAATCTTAATGATGGTGCGATACCTTTTGTTTTCCACTGTCGGCATGAGGAACAGCAATCGATCAAAATACATATATTTCTTCCGTTTTCGTCCGGCAGGTCCGGACTTTTGTGATTTTTGAAGCTTGAGTTCTTTCATAAAATAATCTCGTATATTCCTCCATTTTCCGCGCAGATTTTTTTCTAAAAATGTTACAGATCGTTTCATTAAAATTATTATTAAATACGTAAAAAGAGTAAGATATGAAGATGTTAAAAAAATCTTTTTATAATACTGATTTTTTTCTTTACGACGAAGAAAGAAATGAATATTAATCTTAATGATTTAATCTTATAAAATAAAATATTTAATCTTAATTAAAGTTACAAAACTCAAATGCATCTCTTCATAACTTTTAAGTATGTAATCACTTAAAGAACATTGGAAAGTTTTTTTTACAGTGATATATCTAATGCAATCTGCTTAATCATTAAGATTATTCAATATCTTTTACGATCGCGCGGAAAATATCGATTGGCGCCAATTCTAAATGTCCACCAGGGTCGACATCACGGCTGGAGGAATCCGGATCGATCAATCGCGGCGTGCTATGCGTTGTGCTATATACCTTCCACGTTTCTCTCCTCGTCCGTCAAGCGCGCCCAATTCGGTACCATCACCTGGCAGACCTCGTCCCACGCAGTCATCTTGGCATTACGGTCGTTGTACTCGCCGCGATTCACATCGTAGATCGCCGGGCGTCTCTCGATCTCCTCGATAAATCTCTCCGTGTCAAACATGCTCATAAAGTTTCCAAGATTTCCTCCCTTTGTTCAAGGTCTCTCACTCGATTTTCCTTCTTCCGTTCGCTTCCCTATTCGATCTTGCACCTTCCGCGATCGGATTATACTTAGAAATCCTTTCACGATCGTCGAAATCGAAAATAGGAAATTCGTTCAGATGGATCCTCTTCAGGTTACCACGGATGAATGAAAGAATAATCTTTCAGAGGTAAAAAAATCTCTCTCTTGAAGAAGTCGAATTTCAAAGAGGTCACGCAGAGGTCGATCGGCGCAATGATCCATCCGCAGCATCCAACAGTTCTTTTTATCACAGCGATGATTCTCGATTCATCGGTATATACGCGTAAAGCAGTCGAGATGAGCAACGGAACAGCCGCAGGCGGTCTCAGCCGTGCGCGTCACACGTCGCGTCCTCGGCAGCAGCTTGCGCGTCACTGCGGAGAAACCGTTGTACGGCCAGCACGGCTTTGGTATCATGGCGACCCGGCAAATGCGGTTGCGGTTGCGGAGCGGAATCTATGCCGCCCGCGACGTTGCCAGACCAGCGCATCGGCGAGCCGCGCGCGGGTCAAGAGCGGGCTGAAAAACGGCGGAACCGCGTCGCCGCGCAAGCAACATCACCACGACCAGTCAGACACGTAGACGCTGCGAGATATTCGCGCGCAAAAAAGATTTTTTTCTCGATTTATTGGTTATATAGTATTACGTTATTAGCGCACATGACAATGAGTTTTCATTGTAAAACTTAAAAATAAGATCACCCAGTTTTACGAAATTATTAAATAATCATCATTGACCTTTTTATTATTATTTTTGTCCATCGACAAGTTTTTTTATCATTTTTCTTTCTGAACATTACTGCAGTTGAAAGATGTTATTATGTTAGTGTAGAAAGTCGGAGTATTTTGAAACACTGGATTGGAAAAACTTGTCGATGGAAAAAATTAATAATCACAAAAGTAGTATTGTATAATTATATAAAAATATGAGAAAGTTTAGTAGAATTTCACTTCAACTTATGATAAATAATTCCTTAAGCATATAGTCTACATTTTAAATTTCTATAAAGCTCAACAAATATGCGAAATTTGACAGCGACCTTATTAATTCTAACAACAGAAAAAAATGCTAAGTAAAATAAGATTAGCATGCAAATGCCTTGCGAATAATAAATATATAGTAACTGCTTATCAAGTAAGCAATCTACGCAAAAATGAATAAACAAGCTGAACAACAATGAGTAGAAGAAAAAATTAAATAACTATATCATAACTATATCATAAGAGATACATTGAATATGCTCTGCATAAAAGCGATTATTATCTAATGAGATAAAGAGTAGCCAACTTTTTATTTAATAATTTCAAAAATAAAGATAACAAAAAAAGATTTTTTTATATAAATAATAAACAATAAAATTACATAGGGAATGTAAAGACTCTTCGTAATCGATTCTACCGTTTGGCGAGTAACATACACGTGAAGAACCGGGACGAAAACCGCGAGATTCCGCATCTCACGAGATGTTTCTCTCAGAATTAATATCATCGATATATCGATATGAACATTCCAGTCGGTTCGCACAAATACACCCTCCGACATGAATGCGGAATTCGCGCCGCCGCAACGTTGTCAGGTTGTTCGTCGTCGGTGTCGGAATTCACGTGTTGCTACGCGACATCACGCGACACAGTCGTGTGTGCGTGAACGTGTGTGCGTGGTTACGGCAACGTCGACGCGTTTCTACCGCACCGTTATCGACCGTGGCAGCCGTTGCGGATCGCGAACGAAATCGACGCTACCGTATCAGACAAACGTAGACTCCACGAGTCGCACATTATTTCTTCGACGCTCTCTTCAGGCCTATATCGCATAAATTTAATGTCTATTCATTATTTTTTATTTTAAAAAATTGATGGCAAAAATACCATTGCTTAGAATATATGAATAAAGTATTTCCTATTTTCCATAGCTATTTAATATCATTGTGATGTTAGAAAAAATGTATAGGGAATAAATTAGTATGAGATAGCTTATGAATATCTTAATGACATAACGCGCGAACAAGTCATCAAGAAGTAGAGATAAGAAATGACATTACATGTATTAATATCGTGACAAATGGGATCTATAAATGTATGAGAATCGGAATATATATAATATAGTGTAACAGCCCATATAATGTAGAACTTTGAACGTAAAATTACGAGAAGATTACAAGGGACAGTAAGTGCCATTAATTCGCAGTAAGTGCCGTTTATTCAAACGTAGGAACGATTCGTCGCAAAGTCGCGCGCATTGATCAGACGACCAATAAGGAACGAGCATCCGTATGATCCCATGTGTATCACGCATGACAAGTATTTCAAAGTGTATGTTCTTCAATTTTGTATTAATCAAATATATTCTAAATTAATTAACGCGCTTTTTGCTCAATTAAAAATTGTTAACAATCGTTATTCTCACAATAATCTTATAAATGCATTTTACACCGCAGTACGGATTATGTATCGCAAATAATTTCTCAATGCTGCGCATTATGATGCACATGACTCATATCGATACTGCATTTACATATATATAATGCATTATCTGTTCGGAAAATTTATTTTATATAAACGTATACATTTTCTATAAATATTTATATATTTAAAGAGAAAAATATATTATAAAATTGATGATTGTTATCTGGTTCAAATAACATTAATCGAGCAAAAACTATTAGCAACAATAAAATCTATTGTAACTAAAAATTGCTATATATATTAAAGACTTATTTGTGTTATATATTATGGTCTTCTTTCTCAAAAATAATTACTGTCTAATAATGATATTCATTGGATCAATAATAACGTAGTACAACAATTTATCGCAGTGAGTTTATATAGTTTGTCTTGTTAGCAGAATCGCGTCCGATACGTCATTCATTTACATGTGAAAGCAAAGGCCAAATGAAAAATCGACGTATTACGCGATCGAGAAAGAGATGAAAATTACGCACACAAGACACCGGGTAGCATACCGGTATCCTGTGCCGCAGCTGTGTGCAAATAGGGAATAGATTTCGAAGAGGGGGAAGCCGGGTGTGCGCATGAGGAGCCAGTCAGGAAATTTCGAACTTGCTAGTGGGAGAGCGTAAGGACCGAAAGAGGATAGAGGATGGAGATCAAAGAAAGAGAGAGATGGTGTGAGTTAACGAGGCAAAGGGCGGCTTCGGGTGGGAGCAGCAAAAGGAAGTGCAGAGAGGGAAAGCACGACCCGGCAAAAGGTGGAACAAGCGAATTCGATGAGTGTACAGAGATGAGGAGAGAGAGGAAGAGAGATAGAGGACAGAAGACAGAGAGAGAGGTGAATAGTTCGGGGGAGATGGAGTTTCGTATCTGGGCACTACTCATACTTATCCTGACGTTCCTGTTCAGTTCACATAATCGTGCCGACCAGAGGGTGTCAGTCGTGTATCCCGGCCTGTATCGACCCGATCTTCCGTCAGCCGCTCTTCTCGTTTTCCACGCATTACCGGAAACGTTATTTCTTCGAGCATCATCATGTCCAGCGAGGTCCTTGGAAAACGTTACAAGCTCTCCAGCAGCGAAAACTTCGACGATTATATGAAGGCACTCGGTACGTAAACGAACATGTGACTTGGCATCGCGTCGATCGTCCAAAGTGCATTGAAAATCTTAATTTAGAATCCATGATTGAGTATTAATCTTGGGACGAGCGATCTAGGAAAGAAAAACATTTTTTTAATATTCCTGCAAGTAATCATATATAGAAATATTGTTAATATAAATCATTTATCCTGAGAAGCTGATATATTTAATTAAATTAAAATTTTACTTTTTTACTGTCAAAATGTTATCATTAAAAAACTTTTTATCATTTTGTTAACGTTCTGTGTTACAAACTAATCTCTAATTCGATCGATTTTTTTCTATAGGTCTTTTTTTTTATATCTTAAAGCCGGAAATCGAACGTTGTGCAATATTTAACAAGTTTCTTCCTTTACGTATTATTCTCTTTAGCAGAGAATAATACGTAAAGAGGATTATATCATCATGTGTTGAAATAATGCCTCATTTTAGTGCAAATATATCTCATTACGTTAAATGCGATAAATAAAATTGCATCATCCCATTCTGATAACAATTCAAAATAGTTCTGTTTGCGTTGCAACTGGGAAACAAAATTAGATAATTTTATTTCGCACATGCACACATATATTGATAATACGAATTTCTAATAATAACTATTACAGATTACTAAAGATAATTAAAATTGGAATTCTCCAGTACAATACTAAACGACAGTCTATAAAATATTACAAAGTTTTTAATAAATAATTTATTATATCGCGCAATATAAATTACGTTGTATACAACAGCCTGACAATATACGTATTATAAGGATAAGCTATATTATTGTAATAAGATCATCTTGTTGTTAGCACGCGCTATGTTTGTAAATGTTATACGCACTCGCAGATATAAGCATATTGCTATTTTGCGAGCGTGTACAGAACGTGAACAAACACACGACTATATTATATACATACATGAAAGGCGTGAAAAGTTGCGGTATAAACATCCAAAGACCTCTCGAAGGACAATAACACTGCTCATTCATTGAATTTCAGAACATTATAGAATATCAACGAAAATCATATTAATCTTGGCAATGAGCCCCGAGAAATATATAATTTTAAACATTATTTTAATTTATTTTCGACACACACCTCTTTCTATTCATTAAAAGCATAAATACAATTCAATGTAAATAACTTCCGCCTAAATTAATAAGTTAAATCAGTTAATTAGCTGTGCTGGATTCACTTGTGCATTAGTGAGATATCAATAAAGACGGGGAAGATAATCAATTTTAATACGTCAAATTATACGCCCTCATCTTCGTGCAACGACCTGACCTCGATCTTAATTCTAACCGTGTATTACGGATTGTCTGATTGACTGTTTAATTTAACACTTAAGAATTAATTCATCAACGAGATTAAGAAATCATAATTGTTAGTCGCGGGTCACATAAATGCATTCCAAACATTTGTATCTCTAAAAATTTTTCTCTAATTTCTTTTCTACAAACTATTGCAGAATTCATGATTTATCGATCATTTTTCGAATATTTGTAATTTTTTATACATGGCATAAAAGCGTGTTTTGATGCGTAACTTTTAAATTATTCGAAGAAATAAAAAAATGACATATGTATTATTCAATCAGTATTACGCTTTTGTATAAATAATTGTTAATTATTACCTGCGCAACAAGCTTGCTTTAAAATCTTTTTTATTTGATTTAATGTTTCCGTCCATTGTTTCTTATTTAACTACTATAAAAATCCCTATTGTATAATCGTCGTAAGGAAAGACCTTCTACTTGCTCGTTTTAAAAAATTTTCATTATAGTAGTTTTTAAATAGTAATTTGTCTCAACATACTTTTATTAGATATATGAAAGAAGAAAAATTTTCCTTCGTCGTGACTGCATCTTTATCGAAACCAATAACTGCACGTACCTAAAATTGTTGACCGAAAGATAAGAGATAAAGAAAATAAATAGATAACATCGCCTTTCTGTTTCTCTTTTTCTTTCTCTGTTATGCTCTAATATTACCATATTATCAGCAATTTAACGATACAACGGATCGAGCGAAGTTTGCAGAACCATTCATTGACTGTCAACATTCCCGCTCTTGCTCGACGTTGTTACGGTAATCATCGAGAGTCGTTCGCCGGAAATTAAATAAGAGAGCAAGTCTAGACGCACCGTCTTTCGACGCATTGCCGTGCGCCAAGTCGATTACGTTCGCAGAAAATAACGTTCATTTTTTTCTGAGGACATGTACATGCACATATGCGAACATATATGTATATATACATATACTTACACACACACAAAACTGCAGTAAGACGACGATAAAATCGATAAGCGTCCACCGGCTTGGCACGAATGTGTAAACTTGGAATTTTGTTATCATCTGGTTGCAAGATAAAAATACCTCATTTTTTCCGTAAAACTCACTTGGAAGAATATTCCTGTCAATCACAAAATTTTTAATATTAGATCAATTTATTTTCTCTCGCTTATTTTTATTGCAAAATACAAATAATCTCTTTAAATCGTTCTAATAGCTTTGTCTGAAAAATTATGACTACTTTTACTGAAAATATGTAAGTCAAATGAGAATTAATGTTATCGTTTAGGGTCAATGATTACAGATTTCACTCTCGCCGATATTTTACATATTCTTCTCGTCAACGGGAATACCCAGACAGCACCAAATCCTAAATCGGTGCATAAGATATCTTTAAGATGTCTTTTGGATATCATATTATAAGATTTCTTAAAGCTGTCTTAAAGATTTCTTAATAATATCGTATGCCAATTTTGAACTTGGTGCTGTCTAGGTAATTACTATATTGGAAATATATTAGGATCACCGAACTTGGCCGTATTTAAAATGAGAAGAGACACAATCAAATATTCTGTAGCTAAAAAAATACTATCCAAAAGGGAAGAGATCTCTATATAAATGTTCATTTCCATTTTACAACAATTCTTGTCAAACTTTAACCCGTATTATTATTCATGTATTACAAACTCACATGTTTACGTGTATAACATATATCATTTTGAAGGAGATAATTTTTCCGTGGTCTATAAATAGCGCGCATTCACTCGCTTCGGACTTGGGTTCAAACTTCAAAGTTACATCTCGCTTCGAATTTTAACTCGGGAATGGTTTTGTTGTTAGTATGATAATCCAGCGTGCGCCTACCTAGATATATAGTCGATATACATAGTCTCATCAATTGTACATATAAGCGGCGCATAAAACATGCAAACCAAGCGGTGCCATTAGTCAGTATCGTTCACGCAAGCATCGGTGAAACATCGAATAATGTCGTCCGATATTCTAACCGGTATTCTAGGCAAGCGTTACAAGCTTCAAGCGAGCGAAAAATTCGACGAGTACATGAAAACCTTAGGTGAGACGACACCCATTTGAATGTATATTTCATACAGATTATCGAAATCTAACGCGATGCCTTTTTTCAATATTAATTCCTCGATCGGGCAGCTGTTAACAATGTGGGAAAATATATGTGAAGAGTTTTTGAAGAGATAAACTTAAAGTATGCAAACTGGCGATTATGAAATTTCATCTCCCATTAAAATTCAAGTGGTTTTTTTTAGATATGTAAAATTTAAAGAGATTATCTAAACACAATACGATATCATGATATATTCTTCGTTCACTATATAATCTTATTTAAATTTTTGTTTAAGATATATTTTTTATGTCTTAATCTATAAATCTTTTCAATTATAATTCAGTTACATATACTAATATGAATTTGAAGAAATAAAGAAGTTTCGATATTTTGTTTCGTTTTAAATTAAAGAGTTTCTGCAAAATATTAAGATGTTTACGAGAATAGCAATTAACAAAATCGAAAAAACGAATCATCTATGTAAAAGTGGCGTCTGGCAAATTAGAATTCTTATAATAGAAAAAGCTAGTAAAATTTGAGATAATTTTAAATAATTCTTACTTTTTAGGCGTAGGTATGGTGACGCGAAAAATGGGTGCCACCGTCAGCCCTGTCGTCGAATTGACGGAGAAAGATGGAGAGTATACTCTGAAGACGACTAGTACCTTCAAAAGTGCGGAAATAAAATTCAAACTCGGTGAGGAATTTGACGAAGAGACCGTGGATGGTAGAAAAGTGAAGAGTATCTGCACTCTGGAAGGTAACAAACTTGTACAGGTACAGAAAGGCGATAAGACTACTACGATTGAAAGAGAATTTGCACCTACAGAGATGAAAGCGGTAAGAAAAATTAATTTAGTTGCATTTTAATATATAATATAAAAGCATCAAATTGTTATAGTAATAAAGCAACAAATTGTTATAATAATAATAATAATAATCTAAAATTAGTAAGATGTAAATAATAATTCTCGCAGTCATATGTATATAACTTAATCAATATAATTTATATAAAGTCAAAATTTACATATAAAATATTAGCATACAAAAAAATTGAGTTTAACATTTAAGACATAAAAAGGTCAACGTATTATATTATTAATAAAATTATTATAACTTATAATTATATGGACTGCGAGAATATTTATTACTTATATCTTACTTTTAGACCAATAATACTTCATCAATAGTACAATAAAAAATCAATAGTATAATAAAAAATCAACAGTACAATAGTACAATAAAAAAAAAGATAATACTGACCTTTAGTCAAGCAAACAACAAGCAAAAACTTTTCCAATTATATATATGTGAATAAAGTTCGCAAAGATCATAAATTGGCAAAAACTTGTAGCTTGTAGCTATTTCTCTACATATATTACATTGAAAATAATGAGAAACATTTAAACGGAACGTCATTAATATACAATATGATATGAAATTTATGAAACAGTATACTTTTTTACGTCTACACACAACATATATATAAATAATCAAATTATTGTTACCTCGAGGAAAAACATTATCTCTCAATTGTTCGATGTCCTTTTCCAAAGTAAATTTCGTTATTATCTATATTTTTAACAGACATTCAAGAATGCTGTTCTAAATATCTCAATATATTAATTTGGATAATATCCTAAAAATTCATAATAAGGCACAAATTTCAATCATTATAACAATAACACGGTTAATCGTGATGAAAGATGTATACATTCGCACGTTCTTCCTCTCTGAACACTTGAACTTGCGTGTATCGCTTATACGGGAGTTCCCGATTAAAATACAAAAGCTACGTGCAGGAACGCAATGTGTCAAGGGACCGGTTGCACGAGCGGCTAATGTTATAATGATCCGTCAAATGTCCGGTCAATTATCGCGTGCGCTTCTCCTGTTCGTGACACGTACAATTCTGCAGCTCCGAGGTCCAAAATGGTGCCAATAAAGATCCATTGATCCGTCTGGCGATACGTGTTAATGCCGTGAGATACCGGCGCTCGAATAATTCCCGCACTCTTTTCTCTCTCTTTCTGTCTTGTACAGAAATTACTGTCATATTATTCATATAAGAAATTATTATTATTACGACAAAATCTATTACTATATAATATTACTGAAATTATGCTATTTCTATTACAGATTATGAAGGTTGACGATATAGTTTGTACAAGGGTATACAAGCTTCAGGAATAAGCTGAGAAAACTAAGAAGCATGCACAAGCGCGTATGTATGCTTTTAAAAGACAAAAGGTGTAAAATATTGTTTCAAATCTGTCGTTCGAGCACAAAGAAAGTATTGTTTATACGCGTATAAAATATATAATTAAAACAAATTGTGTTCTTTTTCTACAAAGTTAGAACTTACATATTTATATACATGTGTTTCTAAAATGAGTAATAGAAATAATTCAAACAAAAATTAACCGCCTACATTGTGCACATTTTCTAATGTATTATATATTGCATATTACATAATGAAATATCATTACTGAATTATGTTCTATATACAGCAGCGATTGTGTTACCTATTATTGAATATGAATAAAAACTGTTTTTTTCTATGAATATGATGATTTTTCATTATTGCATTTCATCATAATCTTTCTACCTTGTAACCCTCCAGAATGTGCATAAATATGTATATAGCGAAAAATAAAATTGTTATATAATATTTAAAAGATTTAAAATACCTGAACAAGATATATGTATAAAAAGAAGCGTTAATAAAAATATATAAAATATATTTAGTTATTTAGTAATATAATTTGATACATAAATAAGCATCTCTCTAGCATTTTCTGATTGATTTGATATGTATCATATTTATATTATCACTATTTAATCGTCTGTATCTATTAATGGAGATATCTGTAAATGAAAGATATTAAACTTTTGACGTATCAAGTAAGTAATATATAAAATATATTAACTGATTGTCGTATAGAACGCACGTTGTGAAAATTATTAAACTATTAGTTTCTCTAATTATTATAGTTTGTTATAAAGTCTTACATAATATTCCATATAACAAGTATGTCCATTTTCGGTTTTTATTGTGTATTGAAAGTTCAATAATCCGGCACTATTGGTTCTTAGGCAAACTTTATTAGCGCACGATAACGCTTTCAACGCCGGTTTGATGTGTATTAATTTGAAACTGGATGTTGCCGTTGCAGTACATTGAAAAGTATCTATTAAAGTGCTATCATGAGGTAAATCAATGTGGCAAATGCCACCTAGACCATTTGTGCTAATTCTGAAGAAAGGATCATCTGGTGATAAATGAAACTAAAACGTATAAATATTGTACTTTAAAAAGCTGAAATTGCCAAGTTAAATAATGATTAATAGAATTATTCTCATTTATACCTCTACTATTTCACTAGTTGGATCTAATTCGGCTATGATATCCTTTAACAATTCTGTTTGCAATAATACTTTGTTTACAATATTTTCGGATTCCAGATGAAAATCTAATAATGTATCTACTTCGAGTGTTTTTAAAGAGCAATCTGTTATGACACCGTCTACTTCAATAATAATACTTACAGGATAACCTGTACCCTGTAAAATAATAATAATATTAATATTGCCCTAACTTTATATAACAATAACTAATTTTATTCAAATATTCAATATACTTTGTAAAATATTTGCACCGCAACTGAATTATCTTGTGAAGTAGGCCAGAACATAGACAGACACTCTACTAATAAATTTAAACTTAATGAAAAAGTCACATCCTCTTTTAACTCAAACTCATCAAAAACTGCAGATGGAATATATGCCATTGCTTGCATACATTTTGCATCTTCAACTGTAATTTTTAATCCGTTTTCACTGCCAAGGCAAATAGCTGTAGTCTGAGTAAAATTAAATGAGTATTTTATATTACTATAGAAAAAAAGCATAAATATAAATGTATGTATGAAGTACCTCCTTAAAATTAATAGCTTTTAATAATTGTATTACAGTTTTCAAATTTGTCAATCCTATTTTTGCAACCAACAAGTAATCTTCCACATTAGAGAACATTATGCTTGTATGAAACCTGACATAACATTAAATTGTCAAACTGTTTCTGTGTTAATTGTTGGTGCAACAACTTTTCATTATCAACACTGGCTAGCCAAGCTGCCAAAATGTGTTTACAAGTGAAAGCAGACCGATCTCCTAGTACCTGATGTCTACCACATTACACACAAGAGCCATATAAGAATTTTTCATCACATATATAAGTCATGTTGTGAAATGTAAAATTTTGAAAATATAATTTTACCATTTTAGTTCTATAATTTATTTATGTAGAATTATTATTATACCTGAAAGCTGCACAAGAACAATAATTTACTTCAGGAAAAAGTGTGTATGATGCTCCAGAGTGTCCTCTAACTTGCATCAACCAACTGGCCTCGCTTGCATTCTTGTATGACTCTGTTATAATTGTACTAGATGTCGAAATTTGCGTCACTCGTTGTTGCTCATATAAATCTAAAGCTCTTTCAAATGTCCCGTCAAATAACTTGTATAGCTTCAATAGATTTTGATCAGAGACTGTAAAAAATAAATATTTAATATTTTATCAAGGCAACCGAAAATATCATTGCGATATTTATCAATTTTTATTTATTCGTTTCGATTTCATTGAATCCGTCTTTCCAAAAATAATCGATAAATTTTACAGACAAATCATAAATTACGTACATTTTTTTTCCCTTTCAAAATCGTCGGCTACTTCTTTTAGCAAGTTATCTACGAAATCTGGGTACTGTTGATCGTATATATTAGGTGGTGAAAAGGTATTTTCTATGTTTTCTTCTTCTTGATCCAGATTCATTAGAATGAATAAAAGTTTTGAATCCGAAGATTATTATTACGAACTATGTTTTCTTTAAGATATAATTGTGTTACAAACGTAAATACATTTGAACCTGTCATAGACATAAAAAGTACATAGATTGTCTAAAGACCATGAAAAGTGAAAAGTAGTCAGACATTCGTACTATGTGAGAATGCTCGAATGTGATTGGTCCATTAAACTTACGACTCAATCTTTTTCATGCATCACAGCCTTTACGTACAAATTTCACTAGTCACATTTCTCTCATTCTTTCTTATTTTCATGCATATTTATATTACACGTGATCGATTAGGTTGGTGCACCTGAGTGTTCAAAAAAGTAGTACAATGTAAATTTGATCAAGCCGTTACAGGTGTCTCGCCTCATACTTTCGTGAATTTCTGAAGAAATTGAATAAGAGAATTGAATCTGTCTTTGCATTGAAATTAATATATTGAGCTGTGTGTGAACACGAGATTAAGATGAGCAATCTACGAAGACGTGCTAACGATTTTACAAACTCCTTGAAGAGTTTTCGTAAGTATATGCCTTTTTACAACTAAAATTTAAGTGTAAAATATATTGTTAAACCGGCTTCAAATGGTTTGTAATTTATTATTAACAGTCTATAATTTATGACACCATGAAAAACATGTATAATACAAAGCCAGGACCTTATATTCTATGTATATATTTTATATGTTCAAGAAACTTTGTAAATATTTATTATGTAAAGTATGGATTTCAGACATAATACAGTTTCTTTTTTTTTTTTACATTTTTTTATAGTTTGAAATTTAAATATGGTCGAAAATATATAAATATTTTTGTTTTACAGATCAAACAATATGCGAAGAAAAACAGAATTCCATTGTATCGCAAAGAAATTTGGAGGATACATTGGATAACAATTCTATAAAAAGGCAATGTGAAAGTGATATACATAACTATCAAAGGAATAACGAATCTCATGCTTCCATTATCATAGCAGGAAGATTAGACAATCAGCAATATATTTCATCTGCTAAGTATAGGAATGTCGAAGATAATGATAATCAATTTCCATTAAGAGATATATCAGATGAAACATCATATTTATCATTGAAATTTGACTTAAATAAAGGTGCTATATTTCAAGATGAGCAATTAAGTAAGGAAAATCATACTTGTGAAGAATATTCAAATTATAATTCCACATTATCTAAGATTAAAGTTAACAAAGATATTGATCCTCATTACTTGAATAAAAATAAGAATATAGAGGTACAATGTAATTTAATTAAAGATTGTCCATACGCTATGTCATCAAATTCATTAGAAGGTATATCAAAAAAAAATCAAGATGTAACTAAAGAATTTCAAAGGTCTAAAAGCTGTAGTATGCTTAATAGTAATATGAAGACAGATACAAATCACAATATTAAAGCTAGCTATTTTTCTGCAACATCTACAAATACTCCTACAAGAAAGAGTAGTTATGAAAAAACTGACATAACTGCTCTGTTTGATGCATTGACATTGTCATCGAAAACTTCTCTTTCATCAAACAAGAAGATTGATTTCCATTCTACTGAAGAAGATCAACAGTGTAATTCAACAAACAGCAAGACAAGTTTAAAAGAGCAACTTAATTTTCCTGAATTAAAAGCATTTTTGGATTCATTGGAATATCAGAAGCCATTGAAAGAGACAGCTGTGCAAGAACGTATGCTGAGACGCTTGTCTGCAAATTTCTACCATTCACCCAAAACTTTTACAGAAAGATTATTAACGATTATTGAAGAATCAGTTATGAGTAATGATTCTTGTGCACATTTAGAATATCCAGAAGCTAGCTTATGTAGATTATCTGAAGAAATTCGGAAAATGTGCAAATTTATAGATGATGAAACTGTTCCAGAATGGCCCCAGTCTCCAAGTATGTCAAAATCAATTTGTAAGAGACAAAGTATAAAATTTAAATCTCCATCACGCAAATCCCTTAATGCATCTCGAAGTAAAGGTATAATTACACCACCTTCTCCTCGATGTAAAAGTCCGAAGAAAATTTGTCAGCGTATGTCAAAAAATACATCATATAATATAAAAGGTTCAGTACTAGATAACACGAGTACGTTTGAATCTTTAGAGGCATTTTGCGAAAAATTTTATGCCAATGAAAATAAAGCTGTTCCAAGGGAGAAAAATCCATTACAATCTCCCTTGCAAAATATAAATAATATTTTACGTGTGTGTGAGAATCAAATGGCTTCTTTGGAAGACACACTCGACATTCAAGAACAACTTAGGAAAGCTCAAACGTTAACCCCGGATTTGACAAGACAACATAATGAAGTATCTGAAGAACAGACTCTTCGATACAGATTACTTACTCAAGAGAAACGAAATAAGACAGATTCGAAAGAAGTACCTAACATATTTAAACAATGGGCAGGATCTAATAAATCTTATGAAATCATGGAGCTAGATGATTTAGAAAATACGCTTATGTATGAAATCGCAAAAAAGAGACAAAGATGTCTCGACACAGCAAAAGTAATGATGGAAATTGACACGAATTCGGAGTCAGAAAAAGTACAACAAATATATCCAAAGATCGTCATCACTGAATCCTCACCAACTAGAGACGCTAAATTCATGGAAACACTAATGTCTGTCAAAAGATATCAAGAGTATTTGGAAGAGCACAAATCTATACTAAATTTATTTCAAACTGGATCGTGCAATACTTCTCGTATTTCTCTTACTCCAAACCAAAAATATATTCGAACAAAGGAAATAACCAGAGAAGATGTCGGCACCCGCCGTTTAGGAGAAAAAACCAAGAGTGCAACATTAAAAGTATCAACAATGAAAAAGAAGAGTACAAGTTCTTTATCGCCAAAATGTTCTACTAATAATATGGTTGTTTCAAAGCCAAAATTATTTGTGACTCCTGGAAAGACACCTACTAAGAAGAGTTGTAAACCAAAGCGCAGCTACTTCCCTGACCTAGTGGGTGGAATGAATAAAGAAAAGAAGCCTAGTCCACATCTCAAAACTATTTACCAACAATTAGAAAATTATGATTACGTAGTATCACCGGTTGGTATGTACATAAAAGGTACGGATCCTCATCTCATAAAAAATTTACGATCTAAAACGAATGAAAAGCTGTTAACACCTAGAGAAAAGCAGATTAAGCGGTCTCTCAGTCCAAAACTGAAAGCTCAACTATCTCCAAAGTTGCCGAAAAAGGTAAGCGAATATTAATAAAGATATAAATATAATTCACAAGATTGTTTGCGAAATGTATTGAGAATTCATTGTGCTTTGTATTATTTCAGACAATGACTAGAATAGTAGGAGATGAAAATATTCCCGATAACTTTTTACATCCAAAAGTGCATTACAAGCTCCCATCACACATACGCACAGTATGTAATTTGTACCCAAAATTTGATTTGATACACTTAAATTTGATCATTTGAAATAATACAATATAACTATAGCGATGTAACAATTTTATTTATATTTATTTTATTTTATTATGTTATTTAGATAAAGGAAACAGAAAATCGAAAAGTGGGAAATCGCATAAACGAATTATTGCGTTCAACACAAGATAAAGTCGTGGTTCGACACAAAGGTAACATTTGATTTATAAATTATGAATTAGTCAATTATTTTTGTATATGCGAAAATATATGTACATAGGTTTTCTTTTTTGAAAGAGAGTTCATGATTTTTAAGAACAAATATATTTATAATTTAATTTTGTATTATTATTCCAGGTCGAATAAAATCAGTTCAAACAGAGTGCTCGAAGCAACTTGAAATCCATTATGATTCTGCTGAAGAATCTGTGCATGTTGAGCAAACAGCTTATAAAACATGCTTTTCTCGTGTACAAAAGGATTGATGATTAATATTTTAATACATGATTTGTTTTAATTTTTTAACAAGAAATTGATGATATAAAGAATATTATGTATTAAAATTTATATTTATATAAAATTTTAATTTTTTAACTACAGATGATTAATTTCTAGTTAATTCATACTTATATAAAAGTTTATATCAATTTTTTAATATGTAAGATGTAAGATGTTTCATTAAATGTGCAATTTTAATTATTCTCTTTTCGTTACTAAATATTACTGCTACTATCTTGTTGTTTCCTAAGATTTAGCCTTTTTTTCTAAAGAGTTTAATCACAACTATAATTATTCTGCACAATCAAATTTCTTATCTTTCTGCTAATCGACAGCAAGAATAAATTTATTTTTCGAACAGTCTCTTTGAAAAATAAAATTATATACATAACGAAAATAAGTAATACTAATTCAAAAGTCTATATTTTGCATCAATCAAGATTCTCATTTTTATCTAATACAGTAAGTATACTAATCTAATAATTAATTCTCAAGTTTCAATATTTTATATTAATATTGTATGTTGTTGCAGAAATTTATTGCTTAAAGTGCTGCTAAAGACGCCTTGGACGAAGCTGTATAAATCTCGAATGCAAAATAGACGAATATGGATTATTTTAACGGAAGTTTTCTTAATACGACGAAGAAAATAAGAGACATCGTAAAACTCGTCATAGAAAAGTGGCGCTATTAATGATAAAAGATCGAGTGGAAATGTCTCGTAGAATGAATCAGTGCGCGGAAATCTACAATTGCGCAGTTTTCTACAATGTTCTCTTTCCTTCTCATTATCAGTTACGGCGTGTAAAGCACGACAATATTGCGTCGTTTCTTGCATTCTTGCAATTGGTTTGATCCGCCAGCAATATGACAGGACCGTCATCGCAGATCAATAACACTTGCTAGATCTGTGTCAATAACGCGGACATTTAATTTTTAATTATATAAACCGGAAGGAGATTGTGTTATACGAGGACATATTATTACCATGATTTGCATGTCCTTGATATGCACTTGATAAAAATTTTTTTTATTCTAAAGAACGTCCACTTCCTTATGCATATAATTGAAATAAGTTAAGTATGGATAAAAGCATGAAAGCTATTTTCTATGCAAGTAATTTTTCAAATTCTTTTACATTAAATATTTAATTTAAATACGATACAAAATAATATTATTTGATGATTATATAATAAATCAAATCTTTAGACACAATACGATATAAAAGAAAATATCAGAATAGATTTAAAAAGTAATTAGGAAAGGAAAAACAAATTTAAAATTCCATTAAAAACACATGGATGTTTATTCAAATACATGTAGAACAGTAGCATTAAATATCACTAGTGTAACAAGAGATATTAATTTGATACATAAATTTCTCCTTTTAATATCTTTTAATCTATTCTGATTTTATTTTTTATATTGTATTGCTTCAGAAGTATTGTTTTAACGTGATCATGAATTAAATCATTTATTATTTATTTAATTTTTAATTATATTATTTATTTGTTATTTTATATTGACAAGTAAGCATTAATTACGAAAATTACTCGTATGGAAAATAACTTGTACGCTACATGCTCTAGTTATTGAATCATTTAGAGAACTATATTTATAAATGTATATATGTATATGTATTTTCATTTATGTTGGCCTATCTAACAATCATCAGAAAAACCCGTGCCGACAGAGCTGTACCACGGCCCTGAAGAATTGCGCATGGTACGCATGTTGACGATTGCACACGCCGCGCGTTATGCTTGTCAAGCCGCTCGGAACCAAGCCCAGTCGTGGTGGGGAATGATCGATAAATTCGAAGTCACGACATCGTACCGGCAAATAAGCATTCCATTGCATCTGAGAGCTCGAACCTCGACAAGCGAAGCGACAATTCAAAGCCGACCAAGATGCCGGGACCAGGATGTGACAAATGCAAGGGTGAGTGTGCTCAAATTAATTCTTAATGGACATTAATATAGATCATTTGACATGATATTTCCTCTCAATTATCACTAATAACTTATAGAGGAGTTTCACTGATATGTCAAATAGAAAATAAGTGTAGTTTTATTTATATGTAAAGTAGAAAATAAGTGAAAAATAAATAGAAAAAGATAAGTTTGTATGAAGATGTGATGCAATCAATTTCTAATTGTCAACGTACTATTGTGCAATTTTTTAAATTTATACAGAGTTTTTAAATATTTTTGGATAAGATCTAATTAGAGTATTATATATTGTTTAATTTCGTATGGCATTGTAACATTTATACAATATTTTTATTTATTACAGACAAATGCAAGGATTGCAAGTGCGGTGACAACTGCTCGTGCTGTGACTCCGGATGCAAAGGTAATATTAGAAATTAGTTCAGGCATTTGCTCAATTGCGCAATTTACTATTTGTTGATCGTATATTTATATACACGATAAATTATTTTTAATTACGACTGTAGTTGAATTGTCTTGCTCTGTTTTACTTATATTGTATCAAAAATATGTCTTTATTTAGAGCATAGTATGTCAACCGTTAAAAATAACTCTAATCAATAACTGTACTATTTTTATTTTTTATCTCGGACAATGACTGGATAATAACGGTCGATACCGGTTCATCGTACAGCTTAACACCGTACATTGTAATTTCGTGGACATGTAATACGATTTCATCACGTGGCGCAATTGCACACAGCCCAAAACTACTCGAAGTTTCGACGCGACTGTCGGTCATTTCGACAATTATACAATAAAATGAATAACGATTTCTCAAAATACTATGTACTATTTAACTGCTTTTATTTATATATATACATATATATATATATATATATATTTTATCTCTCTATCAATTTGATTTTACAATCTTACGATTTATATTTAAATTATGCAGCAAATTAGTGTTCAGTAAAAATGGAAATTTTTTTGGCCAAAATAATATTGTAGAAGTTTTTTTTTATTTTAAATAGTTATTTAAAAAAGTTATCTATTTTATAAGTTTTATATATAAACGTTTTTCTTTTTTCTTTTTTAAAATAAAAAATGCATATTTGAAACAATTATGCAAGTAAATAACTTATATTCTTTTTCTTTTTACAGATCAATGTGGCTGCAAGACAGGCGGACAATGCACATGCAAATCTACTTGCACTTGTTAATTAATAACAAAAATATCATATATAATCTGTACTAAAAATGATAAACTTGTAATGCATTAAAGTAAATCCAATATGTAGATAAAATTTGGAGTACTTTATATTATCAAAGTAGGAGATTTTATGCTTTGTAAATTGATATGTAATATGAATTTTTTGGCAGATGAACAATTAATTTAATAAAATTCATAGATTTTTATAAAATGATTTTACTTTATTTCTGTAATTACTTTTCCTATTCTTTTGTGCTATGATAATGATAAAAAGAAAATTTTATATATTATTTAAAAAAAACGATAAAAGTTAGTATGTAATTCTTTTAATTAATTTGTGTTCACATTTTAACAGAAAATCTTATACGTAATAAAAGAAATTAAAAGAAAATTCTATATTTAATCTAATCTTAATGATCTTTATTTAACGATAACATAACTCCTAAGATGGTACTTATATCTATCTACATCTAATAATATTTATTACATATATCATTGCAACTAGCTTTTGCTGATGTTTCTACATTTTTATTCAGAAAATATGATCGAGCATACGATGTCTCAAATTGTAGAATGATAATCTAATCATTAAAAATAGGCGTACAAAATAGATGTTACGTGCAAAATAAAATTATGGATTGCAAAATAAAATTTTATCAATATTCGTCAAGACTGTACAATATTTTTTTAATTTTTTCTCTTTCAATAAACTTACTTGTTCATTGTATGCATTTTTCATATTCAAATTTTTCGTCTTCTCCAATATTTGAATATATATTCGTCTTGTTTCAAATACAAACTTTTCTAAAGATTATAAGCAAAATAATAATCTAACAGAGTTTATTTGTATATTAAATACTCACTGATAGAGCCATTCTGTAGAATCCGTTACTTTAATGAGCACACAATTTTCCAGTTTAATATTACTGTAATAATTAATTTGATTAGTATATATATATATATATCTTATCAAATATTGATATCGCTGTTCAACGCTTACTTTTACATGCCCAGAGTTGAAACTGTCTTTGCACATTTCACATTAATTAATATTTTTTCGTCAACTTACTTCTAACATTTTATAGCTATTCTCTTCGTCTTCGTAGTTTGCTTTTCCTCTAATTACTGTATTATGAGCGAAATATCGTTAGAAATGCTTGAAAACGTGATTGACCAATCAAAACAAATAAATAAAAATTTCTTTTTCCCGATTGGTTAATGCAATGCTTCAAAGCATCTGAAGCGTCTCCCGGGCCGCTTCAGATGCGAGTGAATCGAGAGTAATCGATACCTGATTGCTGCGCTGTGATTGGTCCGCTACTTCGATAGTGCGATATTGCGATTCTCGAAGTGCGCCCACTGATATATTTTGAATCGCAGCCATTCCCAAGTATATGTTTATCACGAGAGTCACGTAGTCGCAATCCGCTCCGTATTTTTCGCGAATATCACTGTTCAGGAGTGATTTGCGCGCGAATATCCGTCTCACGAGTGCTCCGTAAACTGCCGGGAGTTCGCGGCAGTGTATTGAGTGCCGCGCACAATCACGATCGCCGCAATATAAAGCAATATCGCGATATCGGAGTATCGGAGGTCTCATTGATCCATTATGGCGGATCGATTTCTCTCGAATCCGTTTCCCACCATTTCGACTAAGAGTCTTGCGCGCGAATATTTGTCTCGCGAGTGTTTCGGAAAGTGTCGGCAGTTCGTTGTAGTATGTTAAATGCCGTATATATATATATATATATATATATATATATATATATATATATATAGTAACGATCGCTTCAATAACGCGATATCGCGATATCGGATCGATGAGAATTTTGTCCCGCGAATATATATTTACACCGCCGGTGTTTTGTATAAGTGTTGAGAGTTTGTCGTGCAGTTTATTTTAATAAATGCGCGATATCGGCGATCTGCGAATCAACGAATCTTCGCAGGTATTTAAGTATATTTGCATATTATTGTTTTGTAATTGAATGCATATTTTGTCGATGATCTCCCCCCTTCCCCAACCCTTGTTACTCGAACATTGGCTCCATCTCAGTCGATAAATGCAGTTTGTATTTATTACTTGCTCATGGTAAATCTATTCTTATTTATCCTTAGGTGATAATCATAAAATTATGATAACTAATTTGTCGATAATTAACCTATCGCAATTTTGATTACCTAAGGCAGGACGCCCGAGTCTGTGATAATGCATATGCTTTTAATGTATGCATTCTTGAATTGATTCGTAATCAAATATTAATTCAAAAATTCTTTTGTCAAATTTTTATAATTCAAATATATAGTTTAAATAATAAAAAAAGTAATAATACATTTCTCTTCCATTTTATTGTACCATTTTAAAAATATAACAATATAATATTAATTGATAATTACTATATTAATATGTTAAGTATTAATTTTTTTTTACATTTTTAAATATTTATGTTTACTATTCTTCTCTATATTTCCGCTATTTAATTAGAACGTTCAAGGTGATATGAAACGTTTGTCAAAGCGCGATCATTATAACGCGATGACATCAAATCGTTGCGAACAAATTAAATGAGCAATTAGTCGCGCGAATATAATGAATCATATATAAAGTGAAGCAAATGCTTTGAACAATATTCGTAACCTATTATTAAAATGTAGCTTTTATGTGTAATTAAATGTAAAAAATAATTATGTAATAATATAATGTAAAATCTTTCTATAAGCTTCAAAAGAGAACAATAAGTAATAAATTACTATAAATAATAATTTGATAATCAAGGCAAAATATTTTTGAAATATGTTTAATGTTTAAATTTTTAAAAGATATGGGCATTACCTAATTTAAATTTTAACAGATAAAAATTATTTTCATAGCTGGTAGGAAATATTGTGTTAATCAAATATGTCTATTTTTTATTGTATTTTTTATTGTACTTGACACGCTATATGAAATTATTTTATATATATAATATAATTCGATTTTTGCGCATAATTCTTATAAATTTTTCCAAGCATTAAAAAGTAATACAACTGTTTTTGAAAAATCGGATTTAATGTTGATTGCGAATTTATTTCGGATTTATCTACCGTGTTTGTTGTGTAATGCTATGATTATTATTATTCTTTATTACCTGTCAAATGTTATAACAAGCTATACGAAGCACAACAGATCAATTAATAATTTAATCTTTACATATAAACTGTTGGTTTACGCGGCATTGTATATATTTTGGATTATTGCCCAATAGCACGGATCAAATAATTTTTGTTGCAATATAAATACGCATCACATTACTTTATACAGAAAATCCCGTATTATATATACATTGATAATATTAGAAATCAAATCAGTAATAATGGTTATTATATCAATATCGGAATATTAATATCTTTTGTGCACTGAATGAGAAAATGAAATTTCGAATATAAAATTATAAATGTAATTAATAGTTTTTGAATATCTAAACAAAACTAACTCCTGATTTATGTTTAGATGAGTGTTGTTTTAATTATTGTTTTAAAAGTTCTGTTTTAGAAATTGTTATTTTTAAAAAATTTAAAATATGATAAAGAGCTTGAATATTAGAATACACCTTAGAAATAATTGATTCACAAAAAGAAATCAAGTTTAATTTAATAATAACTCGTCTTTAAATTAATTGAATTTAATTACTTATCGATTAGTTGCCAGTACCAGTCGATTATTTATACGTATATCGTCTACTTGTAATATGTTGATAAAAATAAGAAATCGATAGAGTTTTAGAGACAACGGTGCGCCTTTAATTGATAACCCGATTAATTATGCATTCGGATTTCGAGCGCAACACCACTTGGTCAGCTCAAACAAGAGTGGCAAGCCGTCCGGAATGTGGCATGCAAAGTGCAGCTTGCGTGTGAAACGGCTGTGACCTAACGTAGCTTTCGCTAAAAGCGCTTAAATTTATAATGGTCCGTTGTTATCGGTCGGTCGTTCGCAAACAGCGCGACAGATCGAATTTAAGGATATTCCGAAAGAGATTTCGTTTACGTGAAAAAATGTTCCGCCTCGTATTTATTGGAATTCATTGCCACAATTTGTGATGATTGCCACTTTTTCTTGTATTATATCTCTATTGATTTAAGATTATATATGTGATATGATTGACATTTGCTCTGAAATACTTATCATGTTTTTGTACATATATATGTAAACAACTAAAGGTGAGTTTTTTTCGAAAAATCTTTATTTAATAATATGGAAATGCATTTATGATGTCATATATAAGTATCTAACAAAACATACGATAGTCTTCTATCATTTTTATTAAGATTTACTTTGCTCTTTATTGTGTATTTTATGCTTGAGAACTTGTACTCGGGAGGGCAAACGATATGATTTAACAATAAGACCTAACTCTGAAAAGCGAAGTCTATTCGCACGCCTTTTTCGTCAGTTCACCGCGATATTATAATGGAAAAAGAAATTTTATATAGGACTTCAGTACTTTAATATTATATATAGGAAGTTATATAACTGTGATTCGAGAGAGAAAGAGATGTATTAAGGCGCGAAAAATTGTAAAGAAATTCGACGGTCGTCGAGGGAGTAGCAACTTCTCGCAAAACCGCGACTTCAACAGGAGAGGTCGTTAACGACACCCCGTGCGGCTTTAAGAACTAATATTTCCATCATTGTTAGCTTTTATGACGCGCCGGAGTCGCGGCTCGTATCGTTCGCTTCTAAAGAAAACGTGCGTCATTGTCAAGATTGTGTTCGGACGGGTTGGCCTGAATACATAATATTTTATCATAATACTTACAAGAGCTTTTAGCGAAAATGTGCGTATGCACGTAAGTAGAAAGTATTAAAAATTATATTCTATAATTACAGATCAATTTTTCTCAAATAAAAAAAATCAGTTTAGATCAAATTGAAAGAAGGAAGAGTATCGGAATATTCTATAATTTGCTTTTTTCTATAAATTTAAAATATATTCTAATAAAACATTTATAATTATTATAATTTATATGTTGCAAATTAATAAAAAACGCGAAATATTTTGCAAGTAACTATTTAGATCAAATAAAAGAACATATATTAACGTTTAACTGACAAAATAAAGATACAACAGCTGATAAATTTTGTAGAAAGCAATTTCGCGTATTAGCAGGCTATTCGTAGCACGTGGATACGAGACTCAATGTAGAAAGCTCGTAGGTGAGATCGTTAGCGCAAAGGGTGTGACTTGGCATTGTGTCCCGAAGTATGTCTTAAGTGTTAGTTTATTGTTACCCGCACCCGGTGGGCAGACTGTCCTTACATATTTAAGACAACCCATTAGCGTCTAGTGACGCTTACATTGCGAAACGTCGCGAAGTACGGTCTTATGTTACATCTTCGTCCAATTTCGATAGACTATATGTATAGGACGCATAACAGAACGCACATTCGGCATAATTACGCACTGACAGCCATGTAGCAAGTCGCATGATTGATGATTATCCTTCGATCCAATCAATCAATTCAACTTCGCGGAATGTAGGCAATTTCATGCTTATCGATAATTGATTCTCTTAAAGCGAGGTACTTAATTAATTAATTTAATACAAGACACTTGCATACGAAAATAAAAGAAATATAAAAATATTAATCTTTCCAAGTATTTAATAATTATTAAGTTTAAATTATTAAATAAATTATAACTATTATAATTACAATTAATAATTTGAATTCAAATTTATTTTTCTTTGCATACAATTATTATATCTGTTCAAAGTTGTATTATTAATTGCACAGGAGGATATTTTATATATAATTTATTCTGACATATTTAAAGCACATTCTCATGACTTTTTCGGGATATTCAAAACATATTAAATTAATAAAGATACGAGAAACGCCAGTCATTACATACAATCTTTTTATTTTTTTTATTTATATAGAAATTTAGGTTTATCTCGCTGCTCGTAATTGAAGGAAAAATTTGTCATCAAAAGGATTATTTTTCGTGGCAGCTTTGCAAATAAATCTCGCGATCTCATTGCAAATCAGGATCATCGTAGCGGTAATCTTCGCGACCGAGAATGCGCGGTAGGCGGACTCATTAAACTTTTCGTCGTTTCGTCCTTCGGAGAATCGTGTCGGGAGTAACGGCTCCCACGGGAACAGCAGTGTGGCGCGATTATACAGACCGCTCCTTTTCCGGAGGAGAGGGAAAGGATT